GTTCACTCGAGTCATCCTGAATAGGATTGGCAGAACACTAGATGAAGGACAACCATGCGAGCAAGCAGGGTTCCGCAAAGGATTCAGCACCATCGACCATATCCACACGGTAACCAAGCTCATTGAGGTTTCTCAGGAGTTCAAGATGCCGCTCTGCTTAACGTTCATTGATTTAAAGAAGGCCTTTGATTCTGTTGAGACGGAAGCGGTCATTGAAGCCCTAGCCAATCAGGGCATTCAAGCCCAATACATCAGGAACCTCCGTGAGCTCTATTGCGGATTCACTACCAGGATCTCACCATTCAACAAAGAAGTGATCGTTGATGTCAAGAGAGGGGTGCGGCAGGGTGATACCATTTCACCAAAACTCTTCAGTGCCACCCTCGAGAACATCATGCGACGACTGGAATGGGAAGGAATGGGAGTGAAGATAGATGGTCGGCAACTACACCACCTCCGCTTTGCTGATGACATTGTTTTAATAACACCAAACATCAGCCAAGCGGCACAAATGCTGGCCGACTTTGACCGTGAGTGTGGAAAGGTAGGACTACAGCTGAATCTTACGAAGACAATGTTTATGAGAAACAGCCTTGTTCCTGACGCCCCATTCGCTCTCAATGGAACGACCATCTCCGAATGCAACAGCTATGTGTACCTAGGTCGAGAAGTCAACATGAGAAATGACCTGGCACCCGAGCTGAGCAGGAGGAAGAGAGCGGCTTGGAACGCCTTCAAGAATGTCGAAGAAATAGCTAAGAGGACGAAGAACCTCCGGCTCCGGGCACATCTCTTTGATTCCACTGTTCTTCCTGCATTAACATATGCCTCAGAGACCTGGGCCCTACGCAAACAAGATGAGAACGCCATTCAGGTCTCCCAAAGAAGAATAGAAAGAGCTATGCTTGGAATATCACGTTTCACTCAAATGAGAGAACGAATCCGGAGTTCTGACATCCGTCGACGATCAAGGATCAGGGACGCTGTCTCATACGCCAAGGTGTCGAAAATCAGATGGGCTGGTCACGTAATGAGATTTAAAGACGACCGTTGGACTAGAGCTGTTACTGATTGGATTCCACGGGATGTCAAGAGACCGCGTGGCCGCCCACCTACCAGATGGTCAGACTTCTTCCTGAAGATCATGAACGATCGGTTTGAGGCCCTTCATGTTCCTGGAGCGAAGAGATACCATTGGGCTACACTAGCACGCGACAGGGACAAATGGAGACGTTACTGGCGCCCGCTCGAGCAAATCGACGACTAACGGGAAGTTAAGTGAAGTGTGAAAATAAAATAAAATAAACATTCCACAGGACTTTTGGAGGAGATATTCCTGGTTCTGTGCTCAGGAAGCATTACTGGAGGCAAAGAGAACCGTATGGCGTGCTGGTGATTAAGCCCCAAGTGGCACATGCAGGGTAAATGCCTCACCCCCTGAACTATCTCCTGGGCCTCAAGGGTTTTCTGTTATATTTTGGGGGCCATGTCCAGTGGTGCTCAGATCTGTTCCTGGCTCAGTTCTCAGGGGACCATGCGGTACAAGGGAGGAAACATGGTTCCCTTTGAGTTATCACTGAAGAAGAGAACCAATTCTGTTATTCCAGGTTTATGCTTTGTGCTTGGCACTGGATGACCTGCTTCTCCCAAATCCTAGAAGTCCCCCTGGGGAACTCACATTCACAACTATTAAAAAGGGATGCAACTTCGAGATGACCCATTTCAACCCCCTCACTTTGAAGATAGGAGAAGCAGCATCCTGAGATGATGATGTTTTAAGAAGCAAAAATCCACACTAGGCAAGGAATGCACACCGGCTTGGAGGTGGGGTGGGGTGGGGAGAGGAGGTGCAATCAGACCTGGGCCTACAACTTAGCAGTTATTTATAACACTGGGGCAAGTTATTGTTGCTCCTGATCCCTGCTCTCTTACTCTTACAAAAGTTCTTGGGGAGCATCTGCACAGAAAATGAACGCTTGTCCAGTACTTTCCTTTCTTTTCTTTTTTTTTTTTTGCTGAGGTGGGGGGATTGTTGGGTCCACGTGCAGTGATACTCAGGACTTACTCCTGACTCTGTGCTCCTGGATCACTGCTGGTAGGGCTCAGGAGGCCTTTAGAGATGCCAGAAATCAAATCCAGGTCAAGCTGATTTTTTTTAATTTTTAGATTTTTTTTTTTGAGTCACTGTGAGATACAGAGTTATGAAGCTGATCATGGTCAGGTTTCAGTTATACAGTGTTCCAACACCCATCCTTCTGCCAGTGTACATTTCCCACCATGAATGTCCCCAGTTTCCCTCCCAACACCATCCCCCCAGCCTGTCTCTATGGCAGGTACTTTCCTTCTTTCTCTCTCTCTGTCTCTCTCTGTGTCTGTTTGTTTGTCTGCCTGTCTCTCTATCTGTGTGTGTGTATGTGTGTGTGTCTATGTGTGTATGTGTCCCCTTTGATGCATTATGGTTTGCAGTGAGAGGCTACCATGTTTGTTCCTTTACCTGTTTTCAGCACACAGTTCTTATCCAGAGCAGTCATTTCCAACTATCTTTGTCATGGTTGTCCCTTCTCTATTCCAACTGCCTTCTCCTCAGGCTGATTTTTAAGTGACTGTTCATTGTCACAGCTTTAGCCCAGGATCAAAGACCATTAGCTTGAATGGATGCTCAAGGACCCGTCTCTCTGTTCACCTCAGTGCATGTAAAAATTGAGGATGAGTTCCCTTGGCACGGTTTCTATTTTCTAGCATCCTCCTGACCGTGAGGTGTGAGGCAGAACTGTGTGCATTTGGCCCAGAACTTGATGTGTTTCAAACATGGCTGGGGGCCAGCATGCCCTTATGGTCTGACAACCTCCCCAGGCCCCGGCTTTCAGCCCTGGTATGAGGCAACAGGCCCAGGACATTTGGGGACAGGATCTGTGTCTCGCTACTGAACCTGGCGGCAGCAGGGCCGCTTCATTTGGGATGGGGCAGAGGACATTCTTCACTGGGGAACAGGCGATGTGTTAGAATGTGGCCCGCGGCCAAGGCATTTCCCTGGGTTGTTCGGGGGCTGAGCTTCCTTATCTGGGCTGGCATGTGCGGAGGGGCCAGCCCGCCCTGGCTTCCTGAGTCTGAGAAAGTGTTTTCTGTCGCCCGCTCTTTAATGACCTGGTCGTGCACATCATTTATCACGGGGCCATTTGATGTTCTGTTTTCTCGGTTATTCTTGAAGACCACACGGAGCAGTCCTTCATGTGCCGGGGCGTCACCTGTGTTATCCCATTTCTAGAATTTCCTGCTTTGAAGTGTTTGGCAATCCTTGAGAAAAAAAAAAGATAAAAAAGAAAAAAACAAAAGCTCCATTGGGCCCTGGTCTTCCTTGAACTCAGCTGCCCCCGTCGGTCTGCTCTTCCTGCCGAAGCTCATTTCAGTAGCATTTTTGCTCCCTGTTCTATTTGTCCATGTTCCATGTTCATGTACCGTGTAGAGTGGAGATGCTACACCTCAGTTGCTGGGAATGACCCAAGCTTGAGTCATGGCCCAGCAGTGCCCGCTTGTCCATGCGTGCCTCCCGCTAGCCTCCCCACCAGCCCCACCCCTACCTGCAACTACCCCCCCATCCTCTACCCCTGCCCAGGATCCTTTTCCTTCTCCACATCAGTGGGACTGCAGGCCATTCTACACTTGATCCTTGTGGCTCTCACAAGCAGAACCCTATGTTCCCGGGTCCTTTTTGAACCGTTCTGTATCCTGGGGCCTGACAGGAGTCATTCCGTCAGAGCTCACACATGCAGGGGTGGGTGTAAGAAAGGGTGAAGGGGGTGGGGCTGTAGAGATAGAGCAGCAGGTAAGACGCTGGTCTTGCATGCAGCTGACCTGGGCTCACTCCCTAGCACTGTGTATGGGCCCCTGAGCACTAGCAAGGATCATTTCTGAGTGCCAGGTATGCTCCCCCAAGGAAATGGTTAAGAGGAGAATCGTGGAGGCTGTTTGAGCCATACCAGGTGATTCTCAAGAGGCTGTTCCTGGCTCTTTGCCTGTGAATGACCCCTGGCAGTGCTTGAGGGGCCAAACGCAGTGCTGGGAAGAGATCTTGTGCTACACAAGTGCATGTATTGTCTCTCCAACCCAAGTACAAGTCTTTAATGATAGGTTAGGGTTGACTCTGGGTTTCTTGTTTTGTTTTGTTTGGGTTTGCTATGGTTCAGTTAAGTTTAGGGTCATACCTGGCTGTGCTCGGAGTTTACTCCTGGCTCTGTCCTCAGGGATCATGATTTCTGAGGGGTGCTGGGCATTAAGCCCAGGTGCACCTCATGCAAGACATAGAGCCTCACTCCTATCCCTCCGATTCCAGGACTGACTCTGAACAGAAAAATCCTTTGATTAATGCAGGGAGTAGTGCACTAGAAATTTTTAGTAACTAGGACTTTGGTGGAGAGGGGGATATTGGGTATTAATTTTAGCATGATCAATCAGGAATGAATAACAATGAAGGGGTGTTCAGCCTTTTCTGGAAGCTTAGTGCAAGCTGGTCACTGGGATTTTGACCAGATACGTCCAGTATGCGCCTGCATTCATTGACCTGCATCTACCCCTTTGGTCCTCTGAAAACTGTCAGTTGTGAGCACCAGATTGAGAAATGAAAGGATTTTGCTTTGTTTCGGTTTCTATTTCTTCTGTGGCTTATCGTTGGCTTTCAACTTATGGCATTTCAGAGTTGGGCTGCATACCTCTCTGTGTGCCCCCATGTTTGCTCCTCCTGTGGTTTGCATTAACTCCGAAGAGTGAAGTCGAAGTCAGGGGATGGGGGGAAAGGAAGGGGGACATGGAGGCTAGAGAGGAAAGTTACTTGGGGGGAGTGTTTGGTCCATACTTGACATTGCTCAAGGGCTACTCCTGGCTCTGTGCTCAAGAGTGATCCCTGCTGGGTGCTGGGGATCAAAAGTGTGGGCACTGCGTTAGGCTCTCCCTGGAGTTCCGCAAAGGCAGTTCCGAGGCCTAACTCACACCCTCTCTCGTTGCAGTTACCTGGCTGAGCAGTGCTGGAATGGCGGCTTCATCTACCTGATCATGCTGCGGCGCTTCCGGCACAAAGTCCAGTCTCCGTACAACGGCGGTGGCGGCCCCAGCGCCGAGCCCGGAGAGGCTCCAGCATTGCAGCTGGCTGACCGGACTGTGAAGAAGAGCAAAAGGACAAGGAAGTTTGGCGTCATTTCCAGACCCTCCACCCACAAGGCTACAGAGGACACCACGAGTAGCACTGGCTGCGAGTTGGACAGCGACCCCTCGGCTGAGCTGGACCCTAGCCCAGACCCCATACTGGGCAATGGTCATGCCTTCGAACTTGAAAATGGTCCCGATTCTCTCAAGGAGGTGGCTGGAGCCCAGCTAGAGAGATCGGAAGTAGACAGAGAGGCAGATGCTCCTCTGTCCGCCAGCCACGACAAATGCCACCTCTCAAAATCTGCCAAGACAGACGTCCAGTCAAGCGATTGCCCGGCTCGGGTGAGGCTTGGTTTGACTCTCAAACCTGAGTTTTCCTTGGTTTCTTTTCTAAACTGGTTTCGATGTTTCTGTTCGTGTGATGGAAGCATCATTGAGTTACAAGACTGGATATTTCCAAGGTCTAATTTCACACCCTCCACACTAGTACGCCACAGTCTATGGTACCCCCAAGAACTCCTCACCTCGCACCAGGATACTTTGGTGGCCTCTGATCCAAGGACATAAGTTGTTTTAGTGTGGTTTGTTTGCCCTCCCGCCCCCCCCCCCCACCTTGATTCTTTATAGCTGACCCATAAAGTTCTGGGTGAGATCACCCAGTACTTGTCTTTTTTCCTTCTGATGTACCTTACTTTGCCTGGCCCCTTCTAATTCCATCTATGTCATTGCAAAAGGCAGGAGTTCTTATATGCTCAGGGAAGAGTAGTATTCCATTGAGTATTGGCTACGTCTTTAGACATTCATCCTTGGTGGCCACTTGGGCTGTGTCCAGATCTTGGCAGACAGATAACACTGTGGTGGGAATGGCTGTGAACTCATTTTTTAGATTTGTGTTTCTGTGTTCTTACGATAGATCCCCAGGAATGGGCTTTTTAAATCTTATAGTACACCATCTGTAACTTGAGAAAACTCCATACTGATTTCTATAGAGTCTGGATCAGTTTGAATTCTTACCAACATTTTAAATATAGTAGGGAAGGTACAGCAAGGCGGGTGCTTGCTTTGTTCTCATCTGACCCAGGTTTGATCCCTGGCACCCCATATACTCCCTACAACCTGCCAGGAGTAATCCCTGAATGCAGAGCCAGGAGTAATAAGCCCTGAGCACTGCCAGATATGACCCCAAACAGCCATGCCTCTCCCCCCACCCCCGAAAAAAATAAAGCAGCACAGGGGCTGGAGAGATACAGTGGGTAAGACACTAGCCTTGCATGCAGCTGATACAGGTTTGATCCCTGACACCCCATATGATCCCCCCCCCCCCCACCAAGCCCTTCCAGATTTGGCTTCATAAAACCAACCAAAATAAAGTGTATCTCAATTTGAAAAGAAAGATGCTTTTTCTGTAGAAACTAACACATTTATTAAGATAAATGATCAGAGGACATCATTATAACAACCCAAAAAAATCACAAGTCATTTTATCCTACTTAAGTAAAGAGATAGTGGAGTTTTCCTAAGTGGAAAATTTGAGTCTTCTGTGTTATAATTCGAGTCATATGAGGCCCAGAGAAAGGACTCAAACTGCCTCATTATTTATCATGGCTGTCACCAGTGGAATTGCTCTTCAAGGCCAAGAATTCCTGGTGGCAGCTGATAGCTTCAGCATCCACAGGAAGGAGGGCCAACATGCAGGCAAGCATCTGCTTTTATTTTTAACATTTTCAAAGAGGTCACATGTTCACAGGCTCATCATCTTATGTTGCTGAATTCTGGTGATGTTCAGATGCTTCTCCGGATCAGCATCTCTGACCCAGAGAGACCCAGGTGATGGTCAGAGTCAGAATTCCCCAAGGCAAAGGCAGATACGCTGTCTCAAGCTTTGGAGTGTCTCACCCAACTCTGTCTCTAGCTTTGGAGGGTCTCACCCGGCTTTATTTTCCTTCTGGTGACAATCATTTCCGTGAGTTCTCTTGGCAGGGGCCTCTGAATTCCAAAGGAAGCAGAAACATCCTAAGAGGCCCCTTCCTGACTGGTTTCTTCTCTGACCCCCTCTAGGAGTGAAAGAACATGGGGAAGGGGGCAGATGGACACAGAGACGATCTTAACTTCTCATGCTGGGGAGTGGCTGTAATCTCTGAGGTACTGCGGTGCTTATTTCTGCCATAATAACCAGTCTGTAGATTGGACTAAACATAAGCCACATAACTTCTTGAGGAACTGAGTGATCCTCATAAAGCTTTCCACAGAGGAAGTACTCTTTCAAGATGGCACATGGAAATAAATGAGAAGGGAAAGGTTAATATCACAGTCACTGATTTCCTACTCACTTGCCGCATTCAGAATTAAGGGCGGTTTGGAACCAGAAGGTAGACCCACCCCGAAATTCTGAACTGAAAATACAACACAGTGTGCTCCTTATCAGTTCAAACTCTATGTTGATAGGATTTTCTCCCAGAAAGTGGATTAGGAGTACTCAAAAAGTCTGAGTTTAAAAAAAAAATAAGTTAGAGAGTGTTGGCTACATTAATCATTTTGAAGGTCTCAAGATAATCAAGGTGATTGAATTTCACAGGCAATTCAAAGAACAGGTTTTCATTTAGTCACAATGCAGGGACATAATTTGGAATAATTTCATTTTTTCAAACCCATCAAAAAGAGACGATTATCCTCAGCTCACCTAAAGCAGAGGATAAAATAGCTTTTCTGGTTTTTGTTTATTTTGTTTTTATTGGAGGGGGTATTGTTTTGGAGTGTTTTGTTTGTTTGTTTTATTCTTACTGTGTGTAGAACTTACTCCTGGCTCCATATTTGGGGTTCATTGTGGTAGTACTTAGGGGTAGTAAGTGAGTAGGAAATCAAATATATGTGTTGCCAGGGATCAAATCCATGTGGGCTGGTGTGCAAGGCAAGTGCCTTACTTGCTGTACTATATCTCCAACCTGGATTTCTAGATTCAATTATCTTAAGATGTCACATCTCAGGATACCCTTGTCTGGCGACGTGTTCAGCTATATGAGAAGCTAGAAATGAAATAGTTGGGGGAAGAGACTTGGATCCCTTGGGCTGGAGTGATAGTACAATGGATATGGCATTTCCCTTGCATATAGCTGAACAGGTTTGGTTCTTCAAGGCCATCAGTGATCCCTGAGCACAAAGAAGCCAGGAGTAAGCCCTAAGCTCTGCTGGGTGTGCCCTGCCTCCAGAGAGAGAGAGAATGAGAGAGAGAGAAAGAGAGAGAGAGAGAGAGAGAGAGAGAGAGAGAGAGAGAGAGAGGCAGAGAGGCTTGGATCTTGCCTCTGGAGCATCTATTTTTGAAGTCCTTGTTGATGGAAAGGGCAGATTGACTGTCTAAAAGTCACTTTCTTCACAAATGATCACCATCAATTAGCTGATCACTGGTCCAGGGTATGCTTGTGGTCTTGAAAGGCAAAAAGTCAGAGCAGGTCGCATTCTTTCTCAGACATGACTATTTGTACCCCCTCTTCAGCTCCAGAAGTATCCTCATTAGCTGTATTCTCCCAGCATGCATTGGGCTTGTCAGGAAGTGAATCTTCACACCATCCCACAATCTTGGTGGCACCCCAATTAGAACCAATGGACCATCACTGATGGTTGCTTAGGTTCTTGGGTTGAGTGGCATTTTATTTCATTCCAGGATGAGCCTGAGATCACACGAAAATGGAATTTCCAAAGCAAAAGTTGGCTCTTATTTAGGCTGTGTGTGTGTGTGTGTGTGTGTGTGTGTGTGTGTGTGTGTGTGTAGTAGATTCCATTCCATTTGAGTAATGTGAGATTAAACAAGTCAGTGTTGCTCCATTCCGCTTTATTAATGATTAGTACATATCTACAAAGCCTTAATAAATTATGGAAATGACTTTGAATGATCATTGAGACCATTTTTATTGATCAGGCACTTCTTTTTCATAGACTGTTACTTGTTACAGGAAAATAAATCCTCGGTCTTTGCTTTTCTGTTCTCCTTTAACAGAGCTATAGGAAACCTGCTTCCTCCTAACAAATATCTCTTTTATAAAAAGAATGAATGCTGTTTCTAGGGAATGGAAAGATAGGACAGTGGATAAAACATTTGTCTCTCATGAGGTTGACTCTGGCAAAGCAATAGCACAGTGGGTAGGGCATTTGCCTTGCACGCGGCCGACCCAGGTTCAATTCCTCCATCCCTCTCAGAGAGCCCGGCAAGCTGCTGAGAGTATCCCGCCCACACAGCAGAGCCTGGCAAGCTACCCATGGCGTATTTAATATGCCAAAAACAGTAACAACAAGTCGCACAATGGAGATGTTACTGGTGCCCGCTCGAGCAAATCAATGAACAACAGGACGACAGTGCTACAGTGCTACAGAGGCTGAAGAGGCTGACCCTGGTTTAATCCCTGACACCTCACATGAGCCTGAGCCCTGCTGGGAATGATTCCTGAGCACAGAGATCCAGGAGTAAGCCCTGAGTACTGCTGAGTGTGCCCCTACTCCAAAAAAGACAGTATATTTCTATAAGATAGCCACACATAAAGACCAGACTAAGTTTTAAAAATGCGAAAGTCGAGCACATTGTATAAATAAGACCCTTCCAGGCTGGAAACAGGCACGTTTAGGAATGGAGCTGAGTTCTCTATCCCCACTCTAGCAGGGGTCCTCATTCACCGGCCCAGGGGAAAGGGTGGGTGAGTCTGTTCTGATAGACATGTGTCTCAGGAATGCGTGGTGCAAATCATGAAGCAGACTCTGACACAGAACAAAGCAAAGTGTTTCCAACCGTTTGAGTCTCATTCTCAGTCCAGGGCAGAACTGTGGGGAAGTTTAAACTGATCATGCCACAGTTTATGTTAGTTCACCCTGGATGTTTAATGGGAAATACAGGACTAGAGGTGTGAGAGATGGAGGCTGTTATAATAACCCAACAGATAAAAGTGCTGGGGGCCAGAGAGTTGGTACAGCCAGCAGGTGCCGACTTGCACAGAGCTGACCCCAATTCGATCCCTGACACCCACATTTGGTCCCCTGAGTACAGCCAGGAATGACCTCAGAGAACAGAGCCAAGAGTGAGCCCCGAGCATCACCAGGTATGACCCCCAAACAAAAACAAATAAAAAAGATGAAGATGTTGATGGCTTTGACAGGGGTGGCGAGGAAAAGCAAGAGGGAAATGAGTCTATTTGGACCTGCCCTACAGAGGGTAGGCATGGTTTGTTTAGTTTAAGAAACAGAGGCTGGAGAGATAGCACAGCGGGTAGGGCGTTTGCCTTGCACGCAGCCAACATGGCCGACCAGAGTTCAATTCCTCCGCCCCTCTCGGAGAGCCCGGCAAGCTACCGAGAGTATTC